TATAATCTTCCTTTTGAGATTTCATCCATTCCCGTCTGGCCTACGAATAAAAAAATTATTTTTATAAAATATATTTTATATCTATCATTTTACATTTTCATCTGGTCGGCTGAGGCAGTTACCAGTTTGTTTTTCGAAAAGCTTAAACAGTATCTAATTAGAAACTAAGTGTGAACAAAACACTGCTATATACAAGTGTTAAAAAAATAAAATGGATTTTAATTAGTACCTTTTAAGCATTTTTCATATGTATTTCTAGTATAACAATGGCTGGCTGCCTCACTGTTCACGAGTTGTGTCCCTTAGAATTCGGTTGCAAAGATTAAAAAAATAAATAAATAACCCAGCGAAGTATTTGAAAAAGTATTTTTCACTCGAATCAGCAATAATGTTCATTAAAAAAATGTTTAAAAAATTAACGCCTTGTTGGACCTTTGAAAAAATATCCTTTAAAAAATTAACGCCTTGTTGGACCCTTGAAAAAACATATTTTAAAAAAGCAACGCCTTGTGGGACCCTTGAAAAAATATCCTTTAAAAAATTAACGCCTTGTTGGACCCTTGGAAAAACATCCTTTAAAAAATCCACGCCTTGATGGACCCTTGAAAAAATGTCCTTTAAAAAATTAACGCCTTGTTGGACCCTTGAAAAAATATCCTTTAAAAAATACACGCCTTGTTGGACCCTTGAAAAAATGTCCTTTAAAAAATTAACGCCTTGTTGGACCCTTGTAAAAAATATTCTTTAAAAAATCCAAGCCTTGTTTGGAGGGTCCTTAAAAAATATTCTTTAAAAAATCCAAGCCTTGTTGGAGGGTCCTTAAAAAATATTCTTTAAAAAATTCACGCCTTATCGGAGCCTTGAAAAAATATCCTCAACAAATCCACGCCTTAATGGAGCTTTGAAAAAATATTCATTAAAAATCCACGCCTTATTGGATTTTTGAAAAATATTTTGCCTTCAATCCCCACTTAAATATTTTGCTGGGTAATAACATCACCTAATTGATCTCAAGCCTAAACGTCATTTGATTGTTTACATTTTTTGTAATAGATTATGTCCCCATCGATATTCAGTGAATTGAAAAACCGTTACCCCTCCAATATGTCCCATTATTGGAGATTTGTTTTTGTTCGACTTGGTGGTGATTGAATTCAGCAAATCGCAGTTTATTCATTACTAAATATACCCTCGAACTGGACAAAGTGGTGTTTCCTAAAGAAAAGCGACAAAAAACAACAACAAACATGGATTTAGGTGATCCTACTTTGAAACCCATTAAAGTATTAGGAGCTGGCTCCTTTGGACGGGTATTTCTATGCAAATATCGCAACAATCAGAAAGTTTGTGTCAAACGCATTATTGTGGTTAATCCGAAGGTGGAGATGAGCATGATTATGGAAGAGGTACATGTGAAATATGTTTGTGTGTGTGTACCACTACTACTAATGAATGTTTGTATATGTACCACATTAGGTTTACATAATTTCCCAATTACAACATCCAAATGTGGTCGAATTTCTGGGCTCCTTTGTACACGCCGGCACGGTCAACATTATCATGGAATATGCCCCGAATGGCACCCTACAAGATCTCATCCTACACTCCCGACCGAAGGGTTTTACACAGAATGAAGTTATGCGTTATTTTTGTGATGCCCTCATGGGTTTGGAATATCTACATGTGCGGAATGTCATTCATCGCGATTTGAAACCAGCCAATTTGTTGCTGGATGCCAATAATAATTTGAAAATTGCCGACTTTGGTATATCGCTGGTGCATGCCTCAAAGACGCACAATGCCACGGCACTGGGCACCCCTTATTACACACCACCCGAGGTGCTGCGTGGTGAACGTTTCGATTATAAATCGGATATATGGTCGCTGGGTTGTATATTGTATGAAATGTGTATGGGTCATGGTCCGTTCTCGCAGGCTGCCACACTGGACGAGCTGCGCTATTTAATACGTGTCCTGACACGTCAAAAAATGGATTGCAGTAATATAAGGAAAATGTATGGATGCCTGTGGGCCCTACTATGCGAGCGAATGATTGTGGCCAATGTACAATTGCGTATATCATTGCCGGACATTGTGGTGCTGGAACCCTCCCTGACAATCTACTATTATAATAAATATTTCGACTATAAGTATTGATTGAATGATGATTATTTAATTAATTTATTATATATGTAGGCATAAGTGTAATAATAATTGGGACCAAAACTTTCATGTGCATGTTATTATTTATAAAAAATCTATAAGAAAGTTATTGTGGATCTGTTTACAAAAATTGTGTGTATTTGTGTTTAGATAAATCTAATAAAAAAACAAATGGCTATTGGAACACATTTGTTTGGGAACTGGGAATATTTTTTTCAGACACGATCAATTTTTAGATTTTTAAAGAATATTTTTTCAAGGCTCCAACAAGGCGTGGATTTTTTAAAGAATATGTTTCGAATATGCATGCCCCTTACCAGCATCTGACCACCAGTCTTGAATAGTTCGGTTTGTAACCCATCGGCATCTGCTGCTTTATTATTCTTTAACCGATTGATTTCTATTCTACCGTCATCTATTATTGGTTCTGGGCAATTCTTTGCCATTGTGCTTCTATACTATCGGGTCAAGAAGTGCTTTCGTCAAGCAGGTTGGTATGTTGAGCGGAGTAGGCCTCTGCAGCTTTTCGACGTCGAGTTTCCGTGTTGTATTAGATCGCACCTTTGCTGCAACATTAAGTACCTTGGTTGGTACAAGGTAGTGGTCCGAATCGATATTCGCTCCTCGGATCCATCGAACGTATTATACAATGGATGAATGCCTTCCGTCTATCACAACATGGTAATTGGATTTCTCGTTGCTTGATCAAAAGAGATCCAGGTGAGATCCATTAACCATAAATCCGCAGCCAAACTAACGTATCGTTTCATGGCAGCTATAATACAGGGCGTAATCATCTGATTTACTTACGCCAGTTCCCTTTCCATCACATTTCCTGTAAGGCAATAATACCGGCTTTGTACTTCTTGAGTACATCCGCCAAAGCGAACACTGCGCCTGTTCTGTACAACGGGCTCACATTCCAAATGCAGATTCGCAGATCTTGGTTCTTAAACCGTTTGCGGGCGTTTGGTTTTCTTTGCTTTTTCATAGTAGGTTCGATTTTCCGAGTGTGGACAACTAACCCGACGCCTCAACCCATTTTGTACAGTTCTTATAGGTGAACTCGCGGAACATATTAGCTCACTATTTCATCGGTGATGAAAATAGCTACCCCAGGTGGCACCAGGGGGAGATCAGTGTCCACAATTGAGATGAAAGATGGAGCCAGATAAGCCTGGACTTCGCCATGTTAAAGCCAATCAGAGCCGTTGCTTGGTATCTATCATCCCCTACGCCACCCACCAGCTGATTAGTACAATTTGGCTGGAATAATGCATGTCCAAATGATTGGAACCTCAGCATCCTGTGTCCCGTGAAAAAAAAGTAGACAAGACGTGCCAACTATAGTAGACGTATGTGCCAACTATAGAGGAATAAGTCTCCTTCCCATCGCATACAAAGTGCTATCCAGCGTACTGTGTGAACGACTGAAGCCAATGGTCAATGACATTATTGGACCATACCATAAACAAAACGAATGACATCAGATTTTAAATTCGGAGAAGGATTGTGATGGCCAACAGAAACAAGGCCACCTTTCCCCAGACCAAACTCACACTTTACAAGACGCTGATACTACCGGTGCTGTTATATAAACCTGAAGCATGGGTACTTGCGCAAGCAGATGAGGCAGCTCTTGGGGTGTTTGAAAATTCTCCGAAAGATCTACGGGCCGATCTGTGTCGACGGTGAATATAGGCGTCGAATGAACCACGAGCTTTACAATTTATACGCGGACATCGACATAGTTAGTCGTATTGAGCTGCAGCGACTACGATAGCTAGGCCATGTTCTGCGAATGAATGAGAATGTCCCAGCTCAAAATGCATATAAAAGCGAGCCCGTAGAAGGGGAAGCCCACGAATCAGATGGAAAGACCAAGTATAAAACAACATCTTGGAATGCATATAAAAGCGAGCCCGCAGAAGGGGAAGGCCACGAATCAGATGGAAAGACCAAGTATAAAACAACATCTTGGAACGTGGTCTTTCAAATTGGAGGAAATGCACATACGACCGACGCGCTTGGAAATCTTTTTTAAGCTCGGCTTATGGAACAACTGTTCAGTAACAAGCCAGCTAAGTATGTAAAAGTTGGCCATGAAAAAATATTCTTTAAAAAATCCACGCATTTTTTGAGCCATGAAAAAATATTATTTAGAAAGTCTACGGTTTGCTGGACTCTTGAACAAATATTCTTTAAAAAGTCCACATGAAAAAATATTCTTATAAAAATCAAAGCCTTGTTTCCATGACAAAATATTCTTTAAAAAAATCTACGCTCTGTTCTATTTGAGAAAATATTCTTTAAAAAATCTACTCCTTGAAAAAATGTTCTTTAAAAAAATCTACGCCTTGTTGGAGCATTGAAAAAATATTTAAATAATTTTTTCATAAAACATAACCCCCAAAATATACATACCCATTACTTTTATTTTTTAAATTATTTTTTATTTCTCTTCATTGAATTTGAATCACACCATTTTCCTTCTTTTAGAACTTTGTGTTTTTTTATTTATATAATAAATATATTTATATAACTTATGTACTCGTCGCCTTTAGAGTTAACGATCAAAAGAAAGCCGGATAGTTTATTGTCCTCTGGCAACCCATGGGATGACATTGTTTTTCGATTGAAATCAATTCAAGGTTTGATCATTTGAGACAGTGCTGACAGTTGTTGTTGTGGTGATGAATTCAAAACTCAATTACTAGAAAGTTGTTGTTGTATTTGTTTGTGGTTGTTGTTGCATTTCATAATTAAATTATTATTTTAATAAAATTAAAAATACAATATCGTAGTAAATAATAATAGATATATATTATATAAGAGATGTAAGTATATTAATGGTGTATAAATATGTTGTTGCTTTGCATTTTTGTTTTTGAATAACAATTGGTATCGTTTTCTTCGATTCTTTGATTTTTGCAAAATAAAATTGACTTCTCTTCTACATACAAACAATGAGGTTTTCTTTTTTACAGATAATATTTTTAAAATATCATGCAAGGTATGGGGAGGGGAAATTTAATAAAAACGTACGGAATTAAAAATTAATTTAACTAAATTTGAATACCAAATGTGAAACGAAAAAAAAATGATATCGAATCGACTAAAGAACATTTTTTTTTTTTGTTTTAAACTGAGGTGTGAAGAACGCATGGAAAAATACAACTTAGTTGCCAGAGATTTCCTTCATGCGGTTGAGGGCACTACCGGCCTTGAACCATTCGATTTGTTGTTCGTTCAGAGTGTGGTTCAACTTGATCTTGTGGACCTTGTCGCCGTTCTTGATTTCACAGTCGACTTGTTTACCAGGAGCCAAGTTGGCCAAGCCAAGCAAGGAGATTTTGCTGGTGGGTTCAACCTACAACAAATTTCAAAATTAGCACTCGGAACAACAAAAAATAAATTCTCAAAAATCCTTACCTTATCGTAATCAGCGGGATTGGCGAAGGTCAAGGGCAATAGACCTTGTTTCTTCAAATTGGTTTCGTGGATACGGGCAAAGGACTTGACAATGATGGCACGGCCACCCAAGTGACGGGGTTCCAGGGCGGCATGTTCGCGAGATGAGCCCTCACCGTAGTTATCGTCACCGACGGCCACCCATTTAATGCCATTGGCCTTGTAGTCGCGGGCAACTTCGGGAACGGTGCCGAATTTGCCGGTACGTTGATTGCGGATGTTGTTCATTTCATTGTTCTCGTAGTTGGTGGCACCGATGAACATGTTGTTGGAGATGTTGTCCAAGTGACCACGGTATTTCAACCAGGGACCGGCGGCGGAGATGTGATCGGTGGTACACTTGCCCTTGACCTTGATGAGGACAGTCAAATCGGTGAGATCCTTGCCGTCCCATTTGTCGAAGGGTTCCAAAAGTTGCAAACGTTGACTCTTGGGATCGACAGCAACCTTGACATTTTCGCCGCTCTAAAGGAAGGCATCAACAAAATGAAATCAAATTATATTAAAAAAACATAAACAAATCTCTCTTAAACTTACAGCTGGAGGAGCATCATAGGTATCCATACCAGGATCGAAGCCCTTGGAAGGCAACTCATCACCGAAGGGAGCGTCCAATTTGAATTTCTTGCCATCGGCACCGGTCAATTCATCGGTAAGGGGGTTGAAGTCCAAGCGACCAGCAATGGAAAGGGCTGTTACCAATTCAGGGCTGAAAAGGAAATTAAAAATCAATACCCATTTCATCACCTCTCCTCATCTCTCTCCCTTACCTAGTAACAAAGGCATGAGTGGCGGGATTGGCATCATTACGACCGGTGAAGTTACGATTGTAAGATGTCACAATGGTGTTCTTGTCACCCTTCTTGATATCCTTACGATCCCACTGACCAATGCATGGACCGCAGGCATTAGCCAAAACGGTACCACCGAATTCATCAAACACCTTGGAGATACCATCACGTTCAATGGTGGCACGAATTTGTTCAGAACCGGGGGTGACATTGAATGGAATCTTCGATTTCAAACCATGTTTCATGGCATTCTTGGCAATGCTGGCACAACGACCCATATCTTCGTATGACGAATTGGTGCAGGAACCAATCAAACCAACCTTAATGTCCACGGGATAACCGTTCTTCTTGGCATTGGCACCCAATTTGCTAATGGGATGGGCCAAATCGGGAGTGAATGGACCGTTGACATGGGGTTCCAAGGTGTTCAAGTCAATTTCGATTACCTGATCGTATTTGCAGTTGCTGTCGGGAGACAAGATCTTGGCCTGGGCCTTCTTGGCTTCATCGGCAATGCCGGAACGGCCAGTGGATCTCAAATAGGCAGCCATGCGTTCATTGAAGGGGAACACCGAGGTGGTGGCACCAATATCAGCACCCATGTTGCAAATGGTGGCCATACCAGTGCAGGAAATCGAATCGACACCGGGGCCGTGGTATTCAATGATGGCACCAGTACCACCCTTGACGGTCAAGATATCAGCTACCTTCAAGATAACATCCTTGGGCGAGGTCCATCCACCGATTTTGCCGGTCAACTTGACACCAATAACCTTGGGGCACTTCAATTCCCAGGGGATGTTGGCCATTACATCGACGGCATCAGCACCACCGACACCAATGCACAAGCCACCCAAACCACCACCGTTGGGAGTGTGCGAATCGGTACCGATCATCAACAGACCGGGGAAGGCGTAATTTTCCAAAATGATTTGATGGATGATACCACTGCCTGGCTTCCAGAAACCCAAACCGTATTTGGCGCAGGCACTGGCCAAGAAGTCGTAGACTTCCTTGTTCAAGTCCTTGGCGCGAGCCAAATCCTTAACACCACCAATCTGGGCTTCAATCAAGTGATCACAGTGCACAGTGGAGGGTACGGCGACCTTCTTCAAACCGGACGAGATGAATTGCAACAAAGCCATCTGGGCGGTGGCATCTTGCATAGCAACGCGATCGGGACGCAAACGCAAGTACGATGTACCACGTTCAATATCCTGATTCTTGGGATCGTCCAAGTGAGAGTACAAAATCTTTTCGGATAAGGTCAAGGGACGGCCCAAGCGATCCTTGACAACATCCAAAGTTTTGGCCAATTTGTCGTAGGGCAAATAGACGTCATTGTCGAATTTGGAAAGGGCTACCTTGGCAGCGGTATATTGGGAGGCATGGAATTGACGGGCCTGCATGTCCAAGCCATATTGGCCGGCTTTGCGCACCTAGAAAAAAGGAAACAGAATAGAAAAAAAGTGATTGGGAATTATTAGAGGAAAAGCTTGGATTTTTACAAAATATTTTTTTTAAAGGCTACACAGGCCTGAGTATTTATTTTTTTTATAAAAAAGTAGTCTTTTGGGACCGGAGAAATTTTTTAATAGAAAAAAGTGGTTCACCTTCCACGTATCCGATGGGCATTGATAAAAATTTTAAAAATAAATATTTTTTTATGAGAGGACGTCATAAGTCACACACCCAACACCCATTTTTCCACTATTAGGTGTTAATGACTAGTATCAATTTGTTTGTTTTTGCTTTTGGCCACATTGTGCTAATTGTATGCTAAACAGAGCGAGAGGAGAACGGGGGCAAAGTGATATTTTAATTTAGTTAAATGTTGTTGTTATTGTTTTATTTTTTTCGCTGATTGTGGGGCGGCCTTGAAAGTTGGAATTTTTTTGACAATACTTTTTAATAGACTTGTCTGTCTGCTTCTTTTGACGACAAAGATTATTGGGGGAGAAGTCGTCGAGGTCTTTTCTTATCAATTATTGTTGTGGCACAGCAACAATACACCCGGTGTTGGTATCAGGACGCATAACCATTCAAAATAAACGTCACACGCAAATATTTGATTTATAAATTCGGCGGCATCATATTTTGTATATGTTTCTTAGTATTTAGGAGTCACGCGCTTACTGCCGGTTGTCAACTTTAATTTTTTTTTGGAATATTCGAAGAATTTCACAATTTTTGTTGGTTTTTATATGATTTTTTTTTTTTTTTTTGGAGAGTGGTTAAAGAGAAAAATCAGCATTTTTGGCGCAATGAAGGTAGCGCATAATATGTAGAAGCATTAAAGAAATTATGTAAAGTTGCGAACTTAGTAACATAGTCCGAAAATATTTTTTTTTTTTGATATTTTAATCGATAAAATCAATGCCTGGATATAATTTCAACGAATTAACATGACTATGGGGTTTTGGGTCTTTCTCCATGGAACTGTGAAAATTATAATGGACCTTGAAAAATCAATTTTTTAAAGGGGCTGGGATATTTGAAAAAATATATTTTTTTATAGACTCACAAGTCTCAAGTGTTAGAATGGGTTAAAACCAGGAGGTGACATTCAAAATACATAAAATCGATCGGGTCCCCCTTCACCATAATGTGGTACAGGGTATTATGTCTTTGTGCATATGTTTGCAACGGACAAAAGGAAATGAGATAGACACATGGTTCCTTTTGAGAATATGCATAGAATTACTTTCAATGTCGATTTATGCATGTCCGTCCACGTCTATCCATGTTAAATTGTAAACATAGTACAGATCGCATTTATGATCCCTATTGGATGAAATTTGACACAGGTCACTTATTTGGCCCAGGGACGAACAATATTGTAATTGGGAAAACCCGGTTCAAATTTAGATATAGCTCTCATATATATTTTCGTCCGATTTTAAGTAAATGGTGCACTAAAGACCCATAGCTAGACCGATTGACACAAAGTACTGAAATAAATATAAATTAATATCGGCCAAGTTTCCTTGAAATCGGTTCAGATTTAGATATAGCATAGCTTCCATATATAATTTCGATATATTCATGTTAACAAAATTTAGCATAGGTTGCAGAATGACATGTGTAGGGATTGATATTAGTCGGTCTATAATAAAGATCACATTTTTAAGTTTGTTCAATTTCATATCAATGTTCCCTCGAAAAGGCGACTTCTGTTAGGATACATTTGTAGAATATACCCAAAGTGGTGATGGGTATCATATAGTCGGCCCAGTCCGACTTTATTATTTTCCTTATTGGTTTATAAAATATTTTTCAATTTTGTGTTACGGTGTTTTTATATCAATTTTATTCATAATCAACAACAAAAATGTGGAACACTCAATTAAAACTATGTACTTCCAATGGACTACTCAATTGAATAGTGTGAAAAAATAGTGCCTGCTGTGTTGAATTGCTCATATCAATCTCTCCTGAACACATTTCGTATACACTTATGAATTATGTAGCCGATTGCGGTTCTCATACTACGAGGGCAGTTCGGAAAATTCTTAGCCTAGCACAAAAACCGCGGTATAAATTTTTTTTTCGGTCTGACAACTTCTTCATATAGAAACAGGTGTTCAAAAAAGACACGTCCGCAATTTTTTACATTGGAAAAATTGGAAATGCGTGCTTTCATTGTAAAATAATTGCGAATGCATCTTTTTTGAACACCTTTTTCTACATGAAGGAGTTGCCAGATCGAAACAAATTTTAACATGTGTTCATAACAGAGATGGACGTTTCCAAAACACTTACCTTTTTTTTTGTTTATGCCGCGCTTTTTGTGCTAGGCTAAAAATAAATTTTAACATGTGTTCATAACACAGATGGAAGTTTTCAAAACACTTAACTTTTTCTGTTTATACCGCACTTTTTGTGCTAGGCTAAAAACTTTCCGAACTGCCCTCGTACACCTATCTAGGAGTGTTCCCAGTATAAATTGCATTGCTGTTCTCACAATGAACGACCATGAACCAACAATGTATGGAGAAATTGTGTTTATTTGTTTTAATTACAATACAAATTGTATACGAGACAACAACAAGTGTTGTAATAGAATTGGCAAATGGCACGTGACTAATTATATGCCAATTGTGATATGCAACTGCAAAAGGGAAGCAATATTCATATTTTTTGCAAGAAAAAATAATGATCTATTTTGAAAATAAAAAAAGAATAATTTTTTGCTATATTTTTAAATCATTTAAAAACCAATAGAAAATTATAAAAAAAAATATTTAAAGAACATAAAAATTATAGGCCAAAACTATAAATAACAAATTATTTTTTCTGACAATTTTTTTTTCTTCAAATATAGCCAGAAAAAATATGCTCAGTAGTAGTTCAAAGTTCATTTGATTTGCAATTTTTTTTAAAATTAATTCAAATCAATTATAATAAAGATGATTACGTCTGCACTCCTCACACGTAAATTTCAATCTTATCAGTATTTCAGTTTAAAAAAAGAAGGGGTGGGTGTTCAGTCGGAAGGCCGGCCGGCCGGCAAGACCCCTCCTCTACAACACTTGATAGAAATTCCCAACTCTTATCGGCTAGAAAAACTCAAGTATACTATATGAGTAGGTGAAAAAATAAAGTGTGGCGTTTGATTTATAAGAAGAAAAAAAAAAAAACAAAAGAAAACATATGTATGTACGTATATAAAAAATATAAGTATATGTAGTACGTAATATAAGCATGCTTATAAAAATAGCTTATCATTTGCAAAAAAATGTTTGTTGTTATTTTTCGTTGTTGTTGTCTTAATCTTATGACTAGATGGGTATGGGGTATTATTCAACAGACTTCATAATAATATTTACGAAACAGAGAAATTGTTGAAATATTTAAAAAACGTAATTACTTGTGGAAAAACAAAGGATTTAAAATTTTATATATTTGGATTCCTGTACATTTTTTTAATAAAAATTAATAATCTCAACATTCCCCCCTAAAACCTTGACCAACATTCATTTTTTTGCAAATTGTAATCGCCTCAATCTTTTAATCTGTGTCGAAGATTTTATGTCCCACTTCACTTTTTTTGAAAAGCCTCATATAAATTGTTGTTGATAATCAAAATGTGGCAAAAGATTTGGGAAAGCATTAACGAATTTAGTTAGTAACTACTTCTAAAATAAGGGTCAATATTTTGGGAAATTGATAAAGAAAAAATCAACACGAGTTAAAAAGGAAATGTGAAGATTTTCCAGGTTATGCCTCCAAAGTGGGAAAAAATTAAAAAAAATTCTTAGGAATGCAGACCTATAGGGAGTTTGCATTGGACCAAAAAGAAATATGTTTCATCTATAAAGGAGATTGAAGTAGAAATATGAATTGTTTCATTCGATTAAGAAAATATTTTAAGGGTCACATTCACTATATTAGATCTGAATACCTCAAAATAGCAAAAATTAAGGGTACCACTATGAACCGAAATTAATACTTTTTGGTAGAAATATTTGACACCCAATAAGAACTCAACATATCTAATTAGAATCAAAAATCATGCGCAAGATCTCCATAACACCGAAAAATGGGAATTAACTTAATATTGGGACTACCCTGAAACTTGGGTTACAATTGAACAATTTTTGATAGGAAGAAGATTTGCTAACCCAAAAAATATAAAACAAAAGCACATTTGATTAAAAAGCTTGCCCAAAATTACTAAAATATCTAATAATTTGAGGTAGTATTATATGGGGACAGCTTAGAAACATGGGCAAGTTTTTGGTAAAAATATAGTTCTACCCAATGATAGAAATAAGTAAAAAAGTGTTAGTCTGTGTTGCCGACAGATATATACCCTCAGCTTATGATCTGCGGAGGTCTATGGAATTACACAAAGGTTTTATTATTTTTGTTGGGAGGTAGCAAAGAGAGTAGAGTTATGATTCCCATCTTCAGAATACTACAATTGGCAAAGTTTGGATTACATTGGACATTAAATACGACATTGGATTAACGAAATTAAAAAAAAAAAATATTGACTGGGTGGATGGTTGGTACCAGAAGGAGTGGATCGATGCGTCCCATTTTCGAACTTGATTGAGCCAAGGTAAAAATATTATGGCAGCTTAGATCGAATCGGATTCCTTTAGTTTGATATTGAATTAATAAATTTTCAAAATATTGACACTTTGTAGGAGAGGTATCAGAAGGCGTGGCCACGGATGGGTCCCATCTTCGGATTTGATCTAGGAATATCAGCATATCAAATTAGAACCAATTCAGTTCAAAAATCATGGGAGCCAAGGTAAAAATATTATGACAGTTTCGAATCGGATTCCTTTCATTTGATATTGAATTAATAAATTTTCAAAGTAGTGACACTTTGTGGGAGACGTACCAGAAGGAGTGGACCCATTTGTCCCATCTTCGGATTTGTTCTAGGATTGTTAAAAATATTACCATGGTTAAAGTTTGGGTAAAATCGAACATTGAATTGGCTTTACATTGAATTAACAAATTTTAACAATTTATGGGGGAGTTACTTGAAGGAGTGGACCGATGAGTCCCTCTGCGCACTTGACATAGCCAATGTAAAAATAGTATGATGTGCAATGTTTGGATCAAATCGGACATTCCATTCCCTTTGTATTAAATTAACATTTTTTTTTTTAAAATTTTGACACTTTGTTGGGCGAGATACTTGAATGAGTTAACCAATCTTCGGTAGTGGAAGTATTAAGATTTGCAAAGTTTGGCTCTTCCAACTTAAACAACGATGTTTGAATGAAATACATTTTCAGCAAAATGTTGACCCTCTTGTGTGGGAGGTGGCAGAAGATTGTACCGAGGTCCTCTATCTTCGAACATGATCTATGTTTGGAATAAATATTACGATATGCAATGTTTGGATAACATCGGTTACTCCCTTTGAGAGTTATCGTGCACACGGACGGACATTTGCGAATCCTTTCCAAATTATCCGTAAGAGATATGATCCAAAGAAATCGGATCATTTTTACCAATAGAAGAACTTGAGTTTAGAAGGCCATCTCGGATTTTTCTGACCACAAGTAGTTCTCGTCCCCCTGATCACGAAAATATATAACTTTTATATATAACTATCCCGAGATATGAGCATTGGAAGTTCCGAAAATTCATATTCTTATGACTTCGCCAATTAAAGGCCGATGAAGGAAATATTGGTATGGTTGTAAAGCTAACACTATATGCTTTCATATTAATCTCATTTTATTTAAAAATTCTTCAACATATATGACCTTCGGACCGGGATTTAAGACATTCTCCTATGGTCAGGTGCAAATTTCGGCTATGCGATCCCAATTCCTTTTTAAATTATATTTTTTCCAAGTAGGGAATTTATGACTTCGGCTACGCGATCAAAATTACCTTTTATATAGTATCGCCTCATAAATACCTATGTTATATGCATTTTCGGAACTTTCATGGCCCATATCTCAGAAAGTATGTACTTCCTGCACAAAAGTCATATATTTTCGTGATAAAAATTTCAAACACATCGAAGCCATCCAAAAAAAGGTGTATGTTCGTTGCCGTACACAGAAACTGGAAAAAATTTTCAAATGTATAACTGATAAAACGAACTTTAGATAATAGCAGATTTTTGCAGGCCCTGGAACAGATAAAAATGCGTATAGGAATTATTCTTACCCCGGACCTACAAGAATATTTGAAATTTGTAAACATTTTATTAAAAATATATTCTGGGGAGAATTATGCCTAAATTAAGAGAACTGATGAGAGTCCGTGGCGAGATCCAATGTGAACAATGCCATATTTTCCCCACTAATAAACAGCTGTTAAAAAAAAATAAAAACCAAATTCCGCCAACTTTACTATTTTGGATTTTACGTTTATATTTTTTACCACTTTTTGAGTGTTTGATGGAAAGAATAAATAAAATAGACCACGTATTTCATATCTTCTAAAGCCTGATTTACACTGAACATATTTCACTTATTTGACAGAAGTATAAAGGGAATGACAACTTAAATGACTATTTATATTAAAACATGTTCGGTGTAAATGTGACTTAACTGTAATTCACTCCCAAAAAATACAACCATGAATACGCATTACATGATTACTGCTGTAATCGATAAACATAATTCGATTACATGATTTTTATTATTTGTTATTAATGATAAGCAGGCCGGCCATTGCAAAAAAAAAGCTTATTTGTTTACAATGTTTATGCGAAAAAATAGAGAAAAACAACAACAAAACTTAAACGTTGCTAAGTCAATTAGACTAAAATAAAAATAAACATTACTTTCACTTCTAAAATAATTAGGGATGCTACTCGACAACAACAACAACAAAAATTAACATTGAATTTTGGCTACTAAATCCATCGAACTTTTTTGTTCATTGTTTAGTAGAACGAAGCAAGAAAATGGGACAGAGTCCAATAAGAAAATAAAAAACAACAACAACTGATTTGACAATTAGGCCTAAAATGCATCAACTGACATGCGAACTTATCGGCCAAATCGCAACAAAATTGCAAAAAACGAGTGGAAAAATAATCCCTTCCTCTTCCATTAAAATCGAAGTAAATAGTTTTTGAGGTCATCCACCTCCCCACACCACCATTGCATCTCAAGCAAGCACCCACAGATGACAATAAGCAGCACGATAACGGGAGGGTGAACACCACCAAAAGCAATAAGACATCCATCCATTCTCGTTCATACGGTTAGGTAACACTAAATTGAGGTTAGAATATCTTTTATGCAAACACTTTTGTTTGCCTACCGAAGAAAAAAAAATTGCACAACACCACATCACTGGAAGCAGAAGTTCGGCCGATGGGGATTCCAAAAAGAAATATTAACGCCAAAAACGCACTATGTCATACCGCTAATCAATTTGTTTCGAATCTAAAGTGGTTATTTCTTCGAATTGATAACATACATAATCCCGAAATCAAAAAAATCACATTCATTCACATAATCAATCAGAAATTATTTTTTTCCAATTTTTGGGAATTTATTTTTTTTTTAATTATCGCATTTTAGTTTTGTTTATAATTCCGGCATTTAACTGGCGCTGAAACTTACCTGTGTTTGGAGCAATCTTAATGTGGCTGCCATTATGTTACCAGAACACTAACGACTTTCCGACGTAGATTCACAAATTCAAACTATTAATTCGACAAAATCTCAAAATTCTTCAGCCTTCTCAGCTGGAAGAATTCAATACTGACTGACGACGACTGAAAAAAATACGAAAAGAGAATAAAATCTACAAAAAGAATGTTATCGCTCGAACCGATAACAAGAGGAGAAATTTCCAAGGGTATCGATTTTTTTTCATCGAAGACATTTTTAAGGTTAGCGGCAATACATTAATTTTCTGATTAGAATTGTTATTTTTGTAAGGTGAGAAATACCGCCAGAATTTACTAAATTTTACTATTTTCTTCGATATAATAAAGGAAAATTCGTTATCGTAGTAAAAAAAGTAGATTTTACTATTTTCTTCGATATCATAAAGGAAAAAAGTGTTATCGGAGTAAAAATAGTAAATTCTTGCAGTACGGGAACAGACCAAGTAGTAGATTCTTGCAGTACGGAAACAGACCATTGGTGTGTTCCCGTAGAAAAACAAGTGGCAAAACTTTTTATATATCTGGAACATGTCTAGTTTAGGGCCCCCTCGTGAATCGCTTTGAAATTTCGGCTTAGTCTAGAATTTTTACCACATGTAGACATTGGGGCCCTGATTACAATGGTATACTTTTTCTTCTTGCGGAAATCTGTATTTCCGGAGATATGGGACTCCAAAAGTTCCCTTGTATTTTCTCATGACTTTTAAATTTTTAAGGCGTTTGAACCCCTATTTACAAAACTATAATATTCTTATCAAATAAGTCCCTACTTCCTTAGATATGTGTCTCCAAATTTCCGCGGGACCCTTCTTCAATTCCGAAAAACAATATAGGTGTTTGTGGGTAGCTGGACTTCGGCTTGTGATTTAAGGCTTTCTCCTATGGACATATAGTAACTTGAGGGTAGGTGGCTTTGGCCAGGGATTTAGAACTTTCTCCAATGAACAGGTGGCAACACCGGCTACGCGATCTCATCTCCTTTAAATTTGAATAGTGTTTGGGTAATCAGGACGTCAAACGCTTTAAATTGATACCCATATTGCCTCAGTATGTTTTAAAAATCGTAAGAAAATACAAGAGTCCCAAGGGAACTGTGAAGCCCCATATATCCGGAATTACCGATTTCCTCAAGAAAAAAAGTATACCGTTGTAATCAGGACCCCAATGTCTACATGTGGTAAAAATTCAAAAAAATCCGCGAGTGCATGTTACCAGAAGGTAACAGATGAAGTGAATCGATGGGTCATATATTTGGACTTGATCTAGCCAATAAAATCTTTACAGTGAACTCTCGATAATGTGGCATTGAAGTATTGAAAAGAATCAGGGAATTAGCGGTAAATAAGCTGGTCGAATCGAAAATGTGAACAAATTCGAAAATATGAACCACCCCGACATTATTTAGTTCACATTATCGAGTGTTTTCTGTTTTGGGTTCATATTATCGAGAGTTTATTGTACTTACAAAAGTTACCGAGTAATTTTTATTGGAAAGGTAAACGAACACACCTATTTTATTAGCAATAAATTAGATGTGTTGACATGAGACCTAACTTCATTTCTGTCAAAAAATGTAAATATTATTGCGCGGTAAGTATTTTTTTTTTAATTTTATTCCAAGTTTTAGGAAATAAATTACATGAAAAAGTCTGTATTCCGAACTAGATGAGAACTTTCATTGATAGCAATGGAGTATTAATCAATTGACAATTCGCGCATATTCGAATCCCGAAACAATGATTTTATTCCGATTGACACATCCATTGGCAGAAGTGTTACCAATGGAAATTTCGAGGAACATGCCAAATTCAGAGCCCGGTCGTGAATTATTTTGAAATGTTTACCGCATGCGGAAGTTCATACCTTAAGAGATATGGCCATTAAAGTTTTTGCTGGGACCAATGTGTTTCCCATTCGTTATAAAATCTTCTATGGCAATACGGAAACCTTCGAGACCAGTAGCTCAGGAACCAGAGACATCTGCAACAAAAACAGTATATGGTTTGAGCTCTGATAGTTTTGAAATTTGCACAAGCTATGGACCTCCAAAATTCCTAGTATTTTTCCATGCTTTTTAAAATTCGCTAAGGCCATATGGGTATCAATTTGAAGCGGTTGAACTGTTGGTTGCAAAAATTATTTTATGGAATAAATTCGTATTATTCTATTTAAAAGGAGATACTGTGTCGTAACCGGTGGTGCTACTGTCCACAGGGTAAAGGTTTAAATTTCCGGCCGAAGGTTTAAATTTCCGGCAATTTCCAAAACAATGGTTTTAACCGGTGTTTGCATCTTTACACTACGAAAACTATTTTTTGAAAAGGTAACGTTGTTGCGTAGCCCACATAAACTATTATTTTTAAAAAATATTAATTTTTTTAAACAGGACTTCAACCGCTTTGAAAATGTACCCATTGTACCCAAAATACATCGGCCCCAGCTTGGATTTAAAGTTCCCTATCTCAGGACGAATAAAATATTGGTTCAAGGCCGGGCCTAAGATTTATTTGTTCCCTTGATTTAAACCTATGTTGAAGTGGGGTTTTTATCTACACGAGACCTCTTTATCTTACCTCTATTGAAGACCTCTTCCTGTTCCAGCTATTGAAGACTACTTGGTCATCCATCTACCTTTTGGACTTCTAAGCCTGCAACTTTATATAGAAGAGCTCTAGATCGTATATCCATGGAAGAGTTCTATGTCTTCTATACATAGAAGAGCTATAGGTATTCTATCAATAGAAGATCTCTAGATCTATCCATAAAGAGGCTAGGTTTTTTTATCCATGGAAGAGGTCTATGCCCCTTATCCATAGAAGAACACTGGGTTTTCCATACATAGAAGAGCTCTATGTTTTTATCCATGGAGGAGCTCAAGGTTTTCTATCCATAGAGCAGCTCTAGGCCTTCTATCTATAAAATAGCTCTAGGCCCTCTAACCATAGAAGACGTCTAGTTTTTCTATCCAAGGAAGAGCTCTAGGTCTTCTATACGTAAAAGAGCTATCTATCTTTGGAAGAGCTATGGGTCTTTTATCTATAGAAGACCTCCAGATCATCTTTCGATAGAAGAGCTCGAGGTCTTCTATCCATACAGGAGTACCAGGCCTTCTATATATTTGATTAATCAAAAGTAAATACTATTTCCGATTTATTTTTCAATTTTTATTTATAAAACTTAAATTTCTACAACTAAATACTAAAATAAATGAAAGACTGCTCCCAATTACGTTTTTAAACTGTCCATTTCAAACATCTCGTATCCTGGTGGGTACCCAAACAACGTATACAACAATAACGCGTACCGCAAGCTGTACATGAATATTTCGAGAAATTACCGCAAACGGCACAAAAATGTCGAGCCGGCTTTGATGGTGGCGGTGCTAATGCGCTTGTATAATTTGGTGGATCCGGATTCAACTGTTTCTCTTCATCCAAAAGTTGAGCGAAATTTTTACGATATTTTGCACGATAATATTCTGGACCTTTACGTTTCGATTTACGATTTTCTTTGGGATTTTTTAAATTATCCTGAAATTTGGGTACCTTTTTGGACATAACCAAATCGGCGTGGGGGTCATCATGAAAGTTATCTTGCTCTAGGGCTTCGAGTGCTTTGCGGGCACGTCTTTGGCGAGCAGCTTCATCGAGTACACGTTTCTTTTCGGCATCTTTAATGCGATTCGATTCTCGGCCAGTCATTTTGGGATAGGTTTTTTTATAGTTTTATTTTTAGATGTAATAAAAATTATTTGTTATTATTTTTGTTAATGGTTTAAGCTTCCTTCTCATGCAATGGGAAACTAATACGATCCATGAGTTCATCAACACGAGCCTGCAAAGTTTCAACAATATCTGTGGAAATGAAGAGGTGGCTTTCATCCAAATCTTGGATTATGAATTTACGTCCCAATGCAAGTTTCTCATCCAAATGTAATAAAAATTGTTTCATAGCAGGATCGCTGTAATGGAAAATAAGAAAAACTCAGTTATTATTCTGTATGAAATTTATTCTTATATATTGTTTTTTTGCAGACTCTTAGAAGTGTACGACAAAATGTCCAAACGTAAGCCCCTTTCGGCTGAAGAAAAACAAACCAAACTATTGGAATTGTTCCACGAAACCAATGATGTTTTCCAGCTAAAAGATTTGGAACGTATTGCCCCGAAAGAGAAGGGTGTTGTCATGCAATCGGTTAAGGGTATACTCCAAGAATTGGTCAACAATGGCCTGGTGGAATGTGAAAAAATTGCTGGCAGTTTTTATTATTGGTCGTTTCCAAGGTGAGTTATGCAAATTACGAAAAGTTGTTGGTATTAAAGGTAATTCTCTTCTAGTGAAAACCTGAAAAAACTCCAACGCGAATTGGAGGATGTGGAGTTGAAAACTTCTCAAATACAAAAACGTATTGATGAGCTGCAGGCGAAATTGCAAGAGGCCAATGGTGCATTAGATGATCAGGAAAGTATAGAGGCATTAACAAAAGAAATCCATATTCTGCAAGAGGAAAAGGACAATTTAGCGAAGCAGGAAGCGAAATATAGCAGCAATATTAACTATGAGGAGGTTCGACAAAAGGACACAGATGCAAAGGTAAGCACCGAATAGATAATTGTCATCAACAGTTTTTATAGAGGTTTGTAATAAGTCTTAATATTTTTTAATGTCTATAGAAGAACTCTAGAGGGTTCTATCTATGGAAGAGATCTCTAGACATTGCCTCAAAAAGAGCTTTAGGTCTTCTATCCATAGAAAAGCTTTAGGTCTTCTATCCATAGAAAAGCTTTAGGTCTTCTATCCATAGAAAAGCTTTAGGTCTTCTATCCATAGAAAAGCTTTAGGTCTTCCATCCACAGAAGAGCTCTAGGTCTTCTATCGATAGAAGAGCTCTAGATCTTCTGTACTCTAGGTCTTCTATACATAGAAGAGCTCTAGGTCTTCTATACAAAGAAGAGCTCTAGGTCTTCTACTCATAGAAGAGCTCTAGGTCTTCTACTCATAGAAGAGCTCTAGGTCTTCTACTCATAGAAGAGCTCTAGGTCTTCTACTCATAGATGAGCTCTAGGTCTTCTACTCATAAAAGAGCTCTAGGGCTTCTACTCATAGAAGAGCTCTAGGTCTTCTATACATAGAAGAGATCTAGGTCTTATACTCATAGAAGAGCTCTAGGTCTTCTTAAACTCCACATTCTTGGGAGAATTTTTTTATTTTTGAGGCAACCTCCAGTTGAATCCTGAATATCCCCAGATTTGCGTAATTTTCCGCAATTTCTTGTAAAGTATTCCACTCCTGTGCAGGTTTTCCATATTGTGGTATTGTCTTTGGATGACTACTCATTGATGGCCTCATTGGATGCTGTTTTCAAAGTATTCGAATTGTTTTCCCCTGCATTATGGGGATTTTCTGAAACAATTGGGGATTTCCGGAAGACGAAGAATTGTCTTCAGTCTACAGAAGAAAGGCCCTCTTGGTCTCTTATCCATCGAAATGCTTCTGGGTCATCTAATTATGAAATAGTACTTGCTTTCCTATCTACCAAAAGATCTCTTGGTCTACCGGATAATCTTTTGGTCTTATCTCTATCTGTTATCGTTTATCTATCGGAAAACCTCATTAGGGTTTCATTGGTATGAATTGCCGGTACTGAGGAGTGCTTACATAAACATGGCGGATTTGGATCTCCTGTCATTCCAAAAGGCTCTTCTATCGGAAGACCACTTGGTCTTGTCTCTATAAAAATTATCTAGAATTCCAAGTTTGCTTATCTATAAATATGCGTCTTGTTTGCCTATATATTGAAAAATGGAAAGACATTTTAATCTCCTATATGTCGGTTTTCTGTATATCGGAAACCCGTTTGAAGTTCATCCTTTAAAGGACCTTCTGTTTAAGACCTATTGAAAAACTCCGGAGTATCATTTATTCTAAAAAAAGAAACACTCATTATTGGTTTCTTGGTACGAAGGTGTACTGAAAATTTTATACCTATTAGAATTGGTAGCTTCCTTGGATGTAACACTACTCTACTTTTTATATCTCATTACCAGCACATTACTTTAAACACACTAACAAACCATATGTATCTAATCCCCTATCCTCCACATTTCGTCCATCCCATCTTGTACACTCTCTCCCAGAAAATTCTCGAAGCTGCCAATCGTTGGACGGATAATATTTACATGATTAAAACCTGGTGTAAACGTAAATTTGACAAGGAAGATCGTGAATTGAATAAGGCCTTTGGTATACCGGATGATTTGGACTATGTGGATATGAAATGAAAGAAAACATTGTGGCAGAACACACATTCACTCCAAGATATTGATGCATGACCACAGGCACTTACCATTCGACAAGGACACCTTTCATAACATTCACCATGTTTAATGGAATAAATTCATTACACAGCGAAGTGAAAATTGAAATTTCCTTTTAATTGTTTAAATTAGTCTTTTTTAGTATTTTCTTTTTGGAATTTCACGCAAAAACTATGTAGAAGTCAATCACACAAAATCCAGATTGTAAACAATACCGGACAATCGTTTGGCTGAAATGATTTGACACGTGTTATCGACAATTTCGATAACTACTCTTTTCAGAAGGCGACATCTATCATTGCCACGAATAGGTGAAGTGATTTTTAATACTTGATATATACATCAACTGCGTGCTATGAATGATTACCTTTATTTTAAGAAATTGGTTACTGTCTTCGCTAATTATTGTATAGTGGAGAGTTATCGATATGATGTATAATTTGCTTAATTTATCGAATTGAAATTAAATCAGTTAACAGTTGGAATATACTTTAGTTTTAAATTTACGATAAAATAAAACTTTATAAACAACTTTATTAAAACAAAAAAATATTTGGTCTATTCTCGTACTAAGAAGCCGATAAAAACGTGAAAAAATTATAAATTGGTAGAAGGTACTTGCATGTTCTGGAATTATGAATATCACTGTGGTTAATACTAAAAACTGAACCAAATTAAGGAGAGAATAGAAGTGGATGGAGACTTCTTGATTGAAGTAAGAATTTCCATACCCATTGAGCTGGAAGACTGAGAGTAACAAATGTACTACTAAAAAATGGAGCCAGTTATTTCTATTCAAACAGAATATTCGAGGGGGCCTCTGAAAAAAAAAACTTCTTGACACCACCAATTAGTGCATCGTTCAAGAAGGAGAACCTGTAAAATTATCTTTGAAAAGGCGACAGTATCTGGAGAAATTAATGTGAGTACCTGCCATTTGGCCTACCTCGGAGTGGCTGAGCCACAGGCGAAATTATGCCCACCAGCGCACCATCACCGAAGTGCTGAACCAATTGGAGAACATACAGAAGGTACACTCTCCCCCTTGGTGATAGGCGAAACCACAAACCGTGAAGCTTCCCAGGGTCCACACCAACAGTAACGCTGGATTGACAAATCCAGGGGCACCTGACACTCGCTGTACGGATAAACTCCTATCAGACCCGAGACCGAAGCCTCTCCCAGTTTGACCCAAGTTCGAACTGGTATCCCAATACAAAAACTGGCACAATGCACTTAAGTGGCAAGCAGAACTCTGTCACTAGCAGCAACAACGATGCACAAGAACACGGAACACAGACAATTAAAATGCTGTCCTCACTGACTGCACCAAGGGACCAATGGGCCGCGGCAACGGACACAAACACTCAACAAAACCGCCATCATGAAAACTCGTGGAAGCATGAAAAAGCCCACGTTGCAGCAGCCACCGGCAGCCAGCACGCACGTCGCCAAACCACCGCACCAACCCACCACCACCCGGTGCAACCGACCGAGCCCACCTTCAAGGGGGCTACGAGGACCACCTTCACTAAGTACCGCCCTTCCCACCCCGCTAAGTACCGCCCTATCCCACCCGCCCCTCCATTCGATATACCCATGTTTGCTAAATCTCTAATGTCTTCAAAGTAACAGCATTCCGTCAGTATATGATTTCAGTCATCCCGTAACCACATACATAAATCCGTCTGAGACAGGCAACAATAGCACAACCCCTTTCCGAGCAACAAACCACCAGAAACAATCGAAGAACTATGTAGCTGTCAAAACCCAGAACCAGTAAAATACCTTCTGATAAAATCAGAAAAATCATATACATACAGTTGTAATCCCAAGGCGGCTGGTTCTATCCACCGGATTGACTCGGTGGACATTTCCGACCGGAAGCTGTCACCTCAGCCAATGGATACATGTAATGGTGCATTTTAGCGCCGGTTCAATTCCTAGCCGACTTTCTCATGATGTCCTCTTCATCTTTGCCGTCAATGTTATCATCGCCAACGTCATTGTCGGAATATGAGACACCCCCACAGTATCCTCTACGCAGTCATGTGTGGAACTGCCGAGATAGAGGTGCTTAACGACTACATCTCGTCGTTGAATAGTTTTTCCTCGCGTTTTTTACCTGACATTTTTTTTTTTTTTGGAGGATAGACTTCAATGCTCATCATGAACTTTAGCTTTCCAACCTAGGTAATGACCAGAGGAGTTCAGCGCTGACAGAGCAAATTGATAGTTGCATGTTTTGCACGGGGAATGAAAATTAGAGGAGATTGCCACAGTTCACCGGACATCACCATTGTGCACCGGGTCTGATAAATAACTTGGTCTGGCAAATCGTAATTTCTCTTGGTTCAGACCACCTCCCCATCATAGTCTCCGTAAATAGACCATCCGATTTCATTATCTCTGAATGTCGCACTTTCCTCAACCATGGGAAAGCTGATTGGCAAGGTTTCAGAAATTTTACCAATCGCCGCTTGGTCTCGCTACTGTAATCAGGCAAGGTGAGAGGTGAGTTGTACAGGCCGATTTCTCTTCTGTCTCCAGTAGAAGAACAATAGCATTACATGCCATAACTACGCATATAATTACAAAACTTAACATAAACAGGCCGTGCGATAGGACAGTTTTTGTGGCTCTTGACTTATCGGAAGCCTTCGATACTGTCAATCACGCTATGCTGTTCGAGGTCATAGAGAAGACCAACTTCCGGTCTAGTTTGAAACGTTGAATATTAAATTATATGTGTGGTCGTCAATTATTTGCGGTATTCAGAAACTAGAAGTCCAAAACCCGTAGGGCGAAACAGGGAGTTCCCCAAGGAGGTATTATATTTCCGGAATTGTTTCTACCTTTTGAAATTCCACATTATCGATTACATTTGTGAAAGGTTAGATGTCTATATTTCTGATTTAGTATTGTTCTAGATTATTTAATTCGTCCGCGCAAGCAGGAAGAGGTTCCTAAATTCGGGGTGCTGATAAAGAAACCTTGTTGATCTTCTGCTTTCCGAATGTAAGCGATACGCAACGGAAGAACATTCAAACCTGTCCTTATGACACCAGTGGAGGCGTACATCGTCATTTTGTTAATGCAGTACCTGATCGCCGGATTCATCCATGCCATCACCATATAGATAGGTTTCTAGACCTAGAACGGCATAAAGGAGAATCCCTAGATCATCAGGTTTATCGAGCAGGAATTGACAGCATTTACATTGAAGCAGTGTCCCAGGCTATGGAAGAATACCTTGTAAATGCAGTTTTTGGAGGCTGCCCACCACCTATAGCAGCAAAAGAACGACAGTTGCATTATGTAATTGGGATGGGAGTGATTTTAGCTCAATTAAGGTCAGGCTGGTGCAGCCGCCTTAATTCATATTGGGCCCGTATTGACAGTACGGTACCAAACACATTCGCTGCATGTGGACTTGAACCTCACAATACGTTGTATCTCTTCAACTGTCCAGCTTACCAATCCAGGTTGCCTACTTGAACCTTGAAACAGAGGAGTCTGAATCCGAATAAAATAATAAAACATTGCAATGACATAGGTTAACCATGTTAGGCGTTATGAATGTCCACCTCACGTTATATCTCTTCAACTGCCCAGCTAAGCCCACTCACCTGTCTCCGGAATCGCTTTGGACGCAATCAATCCAGGTTGCAACCTACTTGAACCTCGAAACAGAAGAGTCTGAACCAGAATAAAATAATAAAAAAAACAGTGAGGAGAGATCAAAATCGGACGGGGCCGACTATATGATACCCTTCACCACTTTTGGTACATACAAGATATGTTAATATATATATATATTATATATATATATAATATATATATGTATATATATAATATATACATATATATATAATATATACATATATAATATATATATATATAAACCAATTGAAAAACCCCATACACATACCATTCTGAAATCAATGAAAAATTGCATGTTGCAGACTCGGATTCGTTTGTATGAAATCGAGTTAAATTATGTACGGGAGCTATATATAAACTCATGGACCTAATTGAGCAAACGTTGTATACACCATTTGTATTTTGTTATTGCTGTAAATTTAATGTAATACCCTCTGCCAGATTTCGTCTAAATCGTACAAACATAGGCCCTTCGGTGCACCAATTACATAAAATCGAACAAAAAAATGTAAGACCTATATCAAAATCTGAAGCGATTTCAACATACCTTATCAAACATCATTTTTTCCTAAATTGCATTCGCTATGCAACATTTTGCACAATCGGACAAATATTGGGAGTTTGGTGTATCATTCACAACAAATCGGACGAAACTATATATGGGAGCTATATCTAAATCTAATTCAGTACTCTGTGCAAAATTTTGTCCCAATCGTGCATCATTTACATAAAATGGGACGAAACTATATATGGGATCTATATTTAAATCTGAACCGATTTTCTCCAATATCAATAGGGTTAGTTAAATAAGTGAACTGTGCCAAAATACATGGACGGACAGACGACGTTATGAAATTCCATCACATGTTGGAGAATATATATAAAGTGTGAATCGACTTGCTTCGAGATGAATGTTAGATTGTCAAATATATATGAATGCACAAAGTTTGTATGGTATATGGTATTAATAAAAAAAAGAAAAAAACAACAACAATAATAATAATAATAATAAAACGGACATATTAAATTCGGGGAAGGGGATGATACGTAATATCCTGTGGTTAGGAAACACAAAAAATAATACATAATTTATGTGGTCAATTAAGTCAAAGAAGTAACTGCCTGGTGGAAAAAAGAGATTTATTTCATTTCAATAAACTTGATACACACACACAAAACAGAGGGGCGAGTTGCACGCATCCTCTCACCATTACAGGACTTTCAGTTATTTCCCTTAAAATATTAAATCTCAATTGTAAACAAAAATTAGGACAATAATGCACAGGAGATAATGGCACGAAAGAGTTCCTCCTCCACATTTAAAACCAATTTAATTAAAATTCAGTAGTAGGATGGAAGTATTTCATTGTGTAACAGATTATTCCTTTTGAACTGGAATTGTATTAATTAAAAAAAATAAT